TAAGGTCCATTCCAACACCTAAAATTCGATGATTCTATGATCAGGTTTTCTTTGTTAAGCCAAATACCTTTTCCCGACAGAAAATCCCTCACCAAGTTATTGACTATATCTTCTCATTTATTTAAATATTGCTGGCCTGTCCTCACCATCTGCAGACAGTCCTTCCAAGTCTTCCTCAAGCCCTACGTTTTGTAAATGCGTCGTTTTTTTCCTGGACTTTCTTTCCCTCTTAAACCACCATGTCTAAATTTAGGCACAGTGCCCAAGTTCTGATTTCAGCACTGCTAAATAGAGCAGAATAATTATGTCCTGTGAGGTGCATGTAACACTCCTGTTATTCCTTTGCAGAATTAAATTTGTCTGCTGTTGCTTTTCTGCATCCCCATGCTGGAGTGTGGTCCCTTGTTTGGGATTCAACGTAGCTATGGATCCCTTTCAACAAGATCTTCTTTGGTCTGGCTGGCACATTTCAGGCAAGTCACTAATTAGCAGCTTGTAAGATGTTCCTAGAGTAGGGATCACACACAAGGACGTCCATGAGTGTGGGAAAAGTGAAATCCCTCAGCAGACTGGAAAAGGCCTTCAAGATCATCAAGTCCAACCCTACTGTGGTTATTAGACCATGGCACTAAGTGTCACATCCAGTCTCATCTTCAAAACCTCCAGGGATGGTGAATCCTCCACCTCCCTGGGCAGCCCATTCCAGTGCCTGATCACTCTCTCCACAAAAAATCTCTTCCTAATATCCAACCTAAACCTCCCCTGGCAGAGCTTGAGTCTGTGCCCTCTTGTCCTCCTGCTGGTTGCCTGGGAGAAGAGACCAACCCCCACCTGACTCCAACCTCCTGTCAGGGAGTTGGAGAGGGTGATAAGGTCTCCCCTGAGCCTCCTCTTCTCCAGGCTAAACAACCCCAGCTCCCTCAGTCTCTCCTCATGGCACTTGTGCTCGAGTCCCTTCACCAGCCTCATTGCTCTTCTCTGGACCTGCTCCAGCACCTTGATGTCCCTCCTGAACTGAGGGGCCCAGAACTGAGCGCAGTATTTCCTGGAAAACATTTTGTTACCTAGTATTGGTGTTCCTCTGCAATACCTGTCACATCAAACAGAAATTTCTCTTTCCTCTTTAGTCAACTCAGTTGGTTCATTTTGTCAGTCTTTCTTGTAACCTTCTACCTGTGCTGCAATGTAGACTCTAGAAATTTAGCTTTTAGGGGGCACTGTGTTAAACCAGGTGATGGTAAAACAGCAGCTCAATCAAAACAACATCAGCAATCAAAAATGGGTTTTTTGCCTGATACTGGAGCAAACTGTACTTATGCACTTATATGCATCACTAGGCTTATGCCTAAGGTTAAGGTAACTAGGAAACCTCTTGTCAAAGGTTGTTTCAGCTGCCCAAAGGATGACCAAAAGATGATCAAAGATGTTTGTTGGGGTTTTAAAGTAGAGTGAGCGGGTTTTCTGTTCTGGCCTGTCACTCCTAGCACTCACCAGTGAGCCCTGCCAGAGGAACCTGAACCCCAGCTCTGACACGGTGCAGCTGTTTTGGGGGTCCCTATACCTCAGTTTCTCTAGCCTCTCCAGCGACTCCCAGCCTGTGTATTTTTATGGACAGGCCATGCACATATGCTGTATGGGTCACAGCTGGAGGAGATGATCTGTATTGCATACACACAGCTTAGAAGCATCTCTCAGCTACTCCAGCTGCCCACAGTGGCTCAGCTGCAGTTCTGCTGTGGCCTTCAAGTGGGGAAGGCAAAGGTAACTTTCCTCTCCTAGGAGCAGAACTGGGCTTAAAATATCATCCTGAGAATGAGTGTCTGGTACTTGGTTTCTTTCTCCTGTCTTGGTGTTCATTTTATGGACGTCACTGCTAAATGTTGCCCTGTTTTTATGCTGGTAGGCTTTGTTGGGAGAGGGTGATGCTCTACAGGTTGCTTGGGAGATGGTGAGCAAAAGGATGTTGCACCATAGCCTCTTTACTCATGAACTTAGCCAGGGGTGAGTCCCAGCTATATTCCTTCATTTTCTGAATTTTTAGTTACCATCTGGTGATGAAAATTCATGTGACGGGCTACATCAAAAGTGTGCAGACTCCTTTTGAGTGGGATAGACAAGTACCAATCAGCAGGAGCATAATCTGACCACTGATGTGCTGGGCATTTGCTTTACGAAAGGTACACAAGCTTCTACACCTGGAGATAAAATTGTTTATGTTATGTATTGCCACTACAAACTTAGCAACCAGGTTACAGGCACAGAACTCTGAGCTACTTAGAAGGCTCTAACAACACAGACTAGGCATAGTGACAGTGCCAGGGGAAGGATAGCAACCATTAGGAACAGAAATATTCAGCCTCAGTGGCCCTTCCATGACCATCACAACCTGCAGCATGGAAATCTATTGAGAGAAATGTCAGGAAAATCAGTGTCTGTGATGTTGTGGTGAAAACCTGTGCTCATTTTTACCTGGGAGTGAAACTGAAGCTTTTATCTTCTTCCCTTAATTGCTCCCAATCTTGTATTACTGTTTGGGTTTTTTTCTGATGAAATTGCTATTCTATGAAGATTGTGGAGAGGAGAAAAATAACCGCTGAAAATTTAGCTGCCTTTGTTTAGCTTTTTCACCTGTTTTTCCTACCTGCTCTTCCAGGAGACTGCCACAATGGCAGATCCTTCAGTGGTGGATCACCTGACATGGCTGAAACTCAGACTCCTAGAAAAGGTAAGGGAATAATTTTGCAGTGGTCACCTTTGCTCTGCTGTTTTGCTCTTGCATGTTGAAGAATAAACACTGCATTTTCAAATGCTATAGCTCTACTGAAATGCAATGAGAATCTGCAGCCCACTGAGAACCTCTTCATTCAAGCAGAGGCAGACCAATGTGCAGTGATGCTACAGCTCTTAAATAACGTTGCCCAAGTTTACATGGACATACAGTAAATTAAATAGGCTTAAAGTGACTTTTATCTTATGGGACATGTCACCAGTTAGCTCAAAACCAGTTTGAGTTGGGACAGGCAAAGTATAGGAGTAAATTTGGGATAAAGAGGACCTCAGATTGTTTGAAGACAATTCATGTCTTCTTTTTTGTCTGCTTTCACCTAAGATATGTTGTCTGGTGAAACATGGGCAGACCTTCACTGGAAGCACGTGAGGTGCTGCAGAGAATCCTAGTACCCTTTCTTGTGACTTTGCACAATGATGCACTCTGGGCTCTCTACTTTGCCCTGTTCCTCCACCCTCAGAACATTTGACATCCACTAATGTGGATCTTCTGCTTCAACATCCTCCAGAAGCCACTTAAAGAGTTGTCTGTGAGGGAAGAAAAGTTTGTCTGGATATGTGGCATCTAACCTGTCTTCACAGTGGAGCCTTTTGCCTTAGATGCAGCAACCATTTGAGGGCAAAGCTTTCACCACTGTGCAGCCATGGAGAACCTGAGAAGGAGCCTGTGCATGACTGAGAGGTCTCCAATTTCTGCACATCAGGGAGAAACGAGGACCAGCTGCTCCCTGAGGAGCAAGGATTTGAGCATAGCACAACAACAGAGTTGTTGTGGCCAGTGGTCCACAACTGGGGGCAGAGCCAGAGGTGGTGGCAGGTTCAACCAGGAGTCCAAATCTATCATAGAATCAACCCAGTTGGAAGAGACCTCAAAGAAAGCTCAGGCAAGCTCATGGTGATGAGGCTAACCTGGGAAGGAACTAGATGTTAGGGTCAAGGTTAAAAGAATCTGTGGCCAGTCATAGCATGGCTGGAGTTGAATTGCAGCCCTAATACTCATCCAGTATAGCTCAGGTATGAGCTGAAGACCTAGCACTGAGATTAAAGGGGCTCCTGGGCACATGAGTGGTGGGTGTTGATGAAAGCCCCAGGTAGGGCTGATCAGGGTCATTTAGGCCTATTAGTGCACCAAATACCCGAAGCTGTACAGTATCGAGTTCTTCATATGATCCAGCTCTCTGCCCTAAAAAATAAATGATGTATAAATCTCCTGATTCACCATAATATCCATTACTGTGTGCAGTTACGGTGCCCTCAATGTAAGGAGGACATGGAAGTGTTGGGGCAAGTTCAGAGGAGGCCACGAAGTTGATAAGAGGACTGGAGCATCTCCCCTATGAAGACAGGCTGAGGGAGTTGGGGCTGTTCAGCCTGGAGAAGAGAAGGTTGTGTGGAGACTTCAGAGCAACTTTTCAATATCTGAAGGGGCTACAAGGAGCCGGAGAGGGACTCTTTGTTAGGAACTGCAGTGATAGGACAAGGGGTAAGAGATTCAAATTGAAGGAGGGGAAATTTGAGCTAGATATTAGGACGAAGTGTTTTCCTGTGAGGGTGGTGAGATACTGGCACAGGTTGCCCAGGGACGTGGTGGCTGCACTAACCCTGGCAGTGTTCAAAGCCAGGTTGGATAAGGCCTTGAGCAACCTGGTCTGGTGGGAGGTGTCCCTGCCCAGGGTAGGGGCTTGGGACTAAATGATCTGTAAGGTCCATTCCAACCCCTAAAATTCTGTGATTTTGTTTTTCAGGGCTGAAATAGACTGGCCAGCTGAGAGCATGACTGTTCTTTTAATGTAAATAGATTTGTAGTGAGGCATTTCGTAGTTTGAGAACCACTGTGTGTCTCCATTTCTGCTTTATTTCCTCCATCCCAAACCTATGCTGTAAGATAGGGTTGGAAATTTTTGTGAGCTTTGCTGGCTGACTCATAACCAGTTCTTGTTATGGTTCTACCAACAGAGACTAGAAAATGAACAGGAGAACCTAGAGAAGATGGAGTCATGTCTCCCGGCTGCAAGTGAGAGAATCATTTGTTCTAGTTTATGGACATAATATAGAAAGGGCTTAGTGATGTTCTCAGGCATGAGTTCCCCAGCAAGACACACCAGATGATCATGTCCTCCCTGACAGCTGCATGCTCAGTGGCTGGATATTTGGGTTGTCAGAACTGCTCTGTCTTGGCTTCACACTTCTTGGCTTGTCTCAGTCCTAGTAAGCCAGTGAATCTGAGCAGCCTTGATGCAAGAATAGCCTAGCTGTTCTGTGCAGCTAACTGCATTTTATCATTTGAATTTCTTCAGCTGGTTTTGTTTTGGCCAAGGGAAGTGATCAAACAGCCAAGCACTAACATAAGACAACCTCCTGCCCAAGTATCCTCTGCAATCTCTCAGCTGCAGATGCTGGCTCAGCTGGAGCAAACTGTTTGTGCTCCAGTTTGTCCTAGCTCTTACACCTAGGAGTGAGCCCTTATTGCAGTCCAGCTGTTTGCTTGGCTTTTGTGATCCTGAAAAGGAGTTGTTACAACAACTGTGTGACCTTGAGGGCCCCAGGCAGGAGGAACACTTAATTTCTTCGCAAGGCACATCCACTGTTGATAATTCTATTTAAAGATATAGGCTTATATAAGATTAAAGGCTACCAGTGGGAGCTCAGTAACATTTCTAGATTGTACTCTGAGCTCATATTCACTGAACTGATGCACAAATAGTTGGAAACTTCCAATGCTGTGTCCAGAAGATAAAAATCCCTATAACAACTTAGAGTTTCGAAAGACGAAGTGATGCTTTTGGGAGCAGATGCCAGGCATGGCTCCCACGTATCTGAAAACATGCTCCCTTGTTTTCCTTTCAGGTGAGCTCAAAATCAGCTGGAGGTAGGAAGAACTGAAAGGGAAGTTGATTCAGAACAAAAAAAGAAACAGAAAAGTAGATGTTTAAAACTGGGTTTGTTTTGATATGTCACAACAGACATTTTTTTACACTTTTCACAGTTATCATCTGTGTGTGCAGAGTATATCTAGAAACAACCAGGCTGAACTGAGTTCCTAAGCCAGGAGCTTAAAAGGAGGCTTTAGAGTGCCATCTGAAGGGTTTATTTTCAGAGAAGGTGCATTGCCTTGGTAGAGCTGCTGAACAGCTGTGTCTGCATATGGCATAAAGTCATTATCCATGAGTGTGTTTGACAAGAAAAGTAGCCTAAAGCCTTTTGTGGAGGAACTCAAGCTATCTTATAACACATTTTCCAAATTAATCTCATAGGTTCTCTAATAGCTCTGTCTTTGTGATTCCTTGAGAAGATAATGGACTTTTCCTCCTCCAGGGAACAGACCTGAGGACATGCTCCAAAGTGCCCTGAAGCAGAGGAAAGATCTGCTGCAGGAGCTCAGGGTAAGAGCTCTCTCTGTGGCCAGAAGCAATCAAAAGGGCCCAGTTACCTGCACATCCACTGCTGATGTGGGTTCGGTGTATTCCTGTCTTTTATTTCTTGGGCTGGGCAGGATTCAGTGCTTTGCTGCTTCAGAGTATTGAGGCTGAGCCAGCTGATCAGGGAGAGGGCCTGAGGAGCAGTTTGACTCCTTTCAGCACAGCTGATGAAGCTTGCAGCTGCTTCAGGTGGTTGATGGGCTGATCCTGTTTGTCCTGAACAGCTGTGTCATAAGCTTCCTGAGGTAGTGCCACAACTCAAAGAAGGGATTTGTAATGCTGTTAAAACAGGGACAGTAGTAACTGTTACTTCTTCCTAGTTTGTGGAGGGCACCAACCATTAGTGAAATGCTTTCCTGGACTTTTGGCAGTTTGTTCTGCACTTTTTTCCATTCCTTTCTGATTGCGCTGAAACCTATATGGCTTCAAGGTATGTGGGAAGGAAAACTTTATCTTTATTCAGGCACTGGCTGTGCCCTGCTGTGGTTTCTCAGGGGCTAATCCCATTTAGTCCCGAGAGAATAACACTGTCTGGTCTTCTGTAACCAAGTTTTCATTAAGAATCTTGATTTTCCAGGAGCAGCACCTTCTGGCAGAGCTTTCACAGCCACCTGCACCAGCTGGAGAACACAGTCAAAACCACAGAACTGTCCTACCACAGGTCTACCAGATCCCTTTTCCAGCTCCCCAAGTGGAGCCACCAAGGATTATCCAGCAGACGGTAAGGATTGTCTCCTAGGAAACACCACTGGTGCTGTGCTGGTCTGAGACAACAACCATTTGGGAACTGTATGGAATTGGTCACCCCACCGAAAGGGAAGATACAGCTCTTGCTGTTGTATGGGACCCTTGCTGCCCTCAACAAAACCTGAGGGAAACCATCTTACAACTAAGGTCCAAAATTAGCCATGTGAATGGTTTACCATGAGAACAAGGTACCAAAAGGAGTGGGAGGGTTGCCCACATCACTGTGCAGCCTATAACCTCAACAGCTCCTCCACAAAAGACAATGTCCAAAGTTTTCCTGAAGTCCAGGCAGCTGATAGCCCTTCCCAAAGATAAGGGAGCTGGCCAAAGCCAACCCCAGCTTTTCCATTTTCCTTCGTTTTCCAGATGCCACCTCAGCCTGCCACCATCATCCAGCAGCTACCTTCACCATCCCCTCTGATCACGCAGATCCCTCCTGCCCAGCCCTTCACAGGCCCTCGCTCTGGCAGCATTAAAGAAGGTAACAGCCTGTTTCTATTGGCCAGATCCCATTCCATCTGGATGGGATGCCATCCAGAGGGAACTTGACAGGCTTGAGAGGTGGAACCAATGCAAATCTCATGAAGTTCAACAAAGTGAAGTGCAAGGTCCTATGTCTGAGTTATGGCAATCCCAGGCACAGCTACAGGTTGGGAGAGGAAGTCATTGAAACCAGCAGTGAGGAGAAAGACTTGGGGGTGATGGTACATAAGAAATTCACCATGAGCTGCAGTGTGAGCTCAGCCCAGAAAGGCAATGGAATCTTGGGCTGCATCCAAAGGAGTGTGGGCAGCAGGTCAAAGGAGGTGATTCTCACCCTCTGCACTGCTCTTGTGAGACCCACCTGGAATACTGCACACAGTTCTGGTGTCCTCAACGTAAGAAGGACATGGAACTGTTGGAGCAAGTCCAGAGGAGGCCATGAAGTTGCTAAGAGGACTGGAGCATCTCCCCTATGAAGACAGGCTGAGGGAGTTGGGGCTGTTCAGCCTGGAGAAGAGAAGGTTGTGTGGAGACTTCAGAGCAACTTTTCAATATCTGAAGGGGCTACAAGGAGCCGGAGAGGGACTCTGTGTTAGGAACTGCAGTGATAGGACAAGGGGTAAGAGATTCAAATTGAAGGAGGGGAAATTTGAGCTAGATATTAGGACGAAGTGTTTTCCTGTGAGGGTGGTGAGACACTGGCACAGATTGCCAAGGAGGCTGTGACTGCCCCAGCCCTGGCAGTGTTCAAAGCCAGGTTGGATGAAGCCTTGAGCAACCTGGTCTGGTGGGAGGTGTCCCTGCCCATGGCAGGGGGTTGAGACTAGATGATCTGTAAGGTGCATCCAACCCCTAAAGTTCTATGAGTCTGATTTTATGACCATCAGGCCTATAGAGGACAGCTGGGGTGCCACAGGAAGTGAAAGGTGGCACTGGATGTTGTCCAATTGAGTTAGTGATGTGCTGTTTCATGAGGAGGCTGCTGGTGGAGCTGTGGGAATTGGACTCCATAAATAGGCCAGTAACAGTTCTGAGAGGGTTTCAGACAAACTCTTATCACAGAAACTAAAGAGAAAGACTAAAAACTCAAAGAAAGCTTGGGAAAGCAAAACAGCTCAATTCATGGCACTGAATAATATTAAAAGGTTAAACTCATGCATATGGATGATTCAAAAATTATCAAACAGGCCTCTACAATCTGGTTTTATTCTTTTGTTCCTTCTTAACCTGCTGTTCAGTCTCCTCAGGCTTTTAGTATGCCTCATGTTTGGAAACAAGATGGAACAGCTGAAAGTGCTGTTCTAAATATAGTGCAATGCCAATAAAGGAGGTTGTTTCTAAACATAGGTGGAAGCTACTGTGAAATAATACATGAAGTAAAACCTGGGATGACTTCCCCGGCTCAGCCATCAGCCAGAGGTTTCTACATCCCACACAGAAATCCTCAGTCTTGAAATCTCAATGTTTCTCAGCTCATTCTTCACCTAAGTGTTTGGGTTTTTGAATCAAAGGTTGTTTTCATTAAGGAAATAGACCCAATCCATGTGTGACTTTTCTGAAGCTGCTGCATGTCATCTATTTTTTGTATGACCACTAAAAAGCAAAAGGAGAGTTACCTTGATTTTTTTTTCCCCTGTCTCCTCTCCCTCTTCACTTCCCCCCACGCAAATTACTCACACTGCACAGGTCCTTCGTGATCCCAGAGATCACAGTAAGGAGATCTGATGCACGTGCAGTGATCGTTTGAGGGCTGGACTTGATGATTTTAGACATCTCTTTCATCCTCAGCGGTTCTATGATTCCATGAGTCAGTGAACTCTCAAGGTGGCACTGCAATATCACATAAATTTGAGGAAACCTCTCACACGGAAAGCCATGATGTGGAGCCAAAGCCATGGAGAGCAGAGTCAGGAGGCAGCCTATGCTGGAGTGGGAGTGCTACAGTCCTCAGCCCTCCTGGATCTTGCCATTCAGCATAGCAGAGGTGGGGGCTTGTGGGGAAACAGACAGAAGATGTTCAACAGCAGCTTTCTTGTAGGAGGGAGGAGAAACAGGAAAGCTGGTATGAACCATCTCATTCATGGACATTCATTTTGCACTGTCTGGACAAATAATGCCAATATTCTTCACCATCCCTTTCAGCTGTTCTGCCTCAGTTTCCGTGACCAGTTTGCAGGCTGAAGGGCACTCCTTAACCAACATACCTCTGCCACTTGTCAGTTGTTGATAAAGCTCTTATTTTTTCCCTTGGGGCGACCTCATTTCAGATATGGTAGAGATGATGCTGATGCAGAATGCTCAGATGCACCAGATCGTGATGCAGAACATGATGATGAAGGCTCTGCCACCAGTGGCATTTGCACAGCCTGTGGGAGCCAACTCTGCCCTGCTCCAGCACGTGCAGCAGGTAACATCTGAAGAGCATTCTTGCTCACACGAGGCAATGGTTGATCTCCTTGGGAGGGTATAGGACCTGGACAGAGCACATAAAAAGTCTGTAACATCTAACACCTGTGCACATCTTCAAACCTTGTTTCTGGGCAGGGCACAGCCTACCATGAGGAGCACCCTGACAGGACCCTGTGGACGAGTAGCTCCTCCCAAATGCAGACTGGATTCAGTCCAGCTCTGAAAGTGATCTGGCCTGTGCAGTTGAACCACTAACTACACGTGGAAGACACCTACACTGAACATCTGTTGCTGCAGGTGTGCCTGCTGCAAGCAGCAGGGAGAAAGCTGGAGAGGGACCTTGGATGAGGGCATCAGTAATAGGATAACGGGGAATGGATTTAAACTGAGAGAGAGCAGATTTAGATTAGATGTTAGGAAGAACTTTTTCCCTGTGAGGGTGCTGAGACACTGGCACAGGTTGCCCAGAGAAACTGTGGCTGCCCCAAGCCTGAAAGTGTTCCAGGCCAGGTTGGATGGGGCTTGGAGCAAAGTGGCCTGGTGGAAGGTGTCCCTGCCCATAGCAAGGGGTGGAACTGGATGAGCTTTAAGTTACCTCCCATCACAAACCATTCTGGGATTCTAAGATTATCTGTGTTACAAATTCTGTAATGGGTGAAATCTGACCTGGCAGTTTCAAATGGACTAGAGCTTTGGGCACAGACATTGTGGTTGAACTTGGAGCCTCACTGCTCTAGTTCCTCACTGAAAATCAGTGGCTACTGAGTACTGAAAGGACAGATCTTAAATATGTTTTGGTGTGTAGAACCCTGTAGGGATTTTTCAAAAATGTATCCAGTGCCTGATAAGAGGTAGGCAAATTTTGAACATATCCTTAGATACCCAATTCCTAAACTGTTTTTAACAAGGTGATAGAGCATCTTAGCATCCTTAAGTGCTCTGGAAAAATGCATTTCCAGCCTCTCATCTCTGGTATTTATTAAGCAAAAAGCAAGGACAGTTGAGTGGGGGTGGGGAGGGAATGTCCCAGTGTTGCAAAACCTTCCTCTGTACTTTTCCTACCCCTCCACTTTCAGGCTAACTATGTCTTTTCCCTGAGTTGGAAGAGAGATTTGGGGTTTCTTTTCTCAGATGTTAAGGTTGTTGAATGCTGAGAAAGTAGCTCCCACTTTTCTTCAGTCTCTGCCCAGCTCACTCACACCTGTCCTACCTGCTCTTTGCAAAAGCAACAAACATCTGAAGAGCCCCTGAGCCCCACGTTTAACAGTGGGTTAGACATGCCATCCTCTTCCATAGCCGATCCCATGGCTTGGAGGGAGCTTCCATGTTTTTGCACCTGTTGGGTCAGAAAACCTCCAACAGCAGCTGCCACCTCTTGTGTTTCAGGGCATTAATGTCCCAGGAGGTCACCTGTGGCACAGAGGGCCCCACTAGCTTTGTTAGCCATGGTCCCAGGGTGGATTTGCCATGGAAATGGCAGGCAGCACCTTCATGTCAGAGCTGCACCAAGCATTGCTTAAATGGGAATCCTTTTCTAATTTCCTTAAACCTTGCAGTTTCTGGCTTGGAATACTCTTCCCCCTTGCTGTGGGGGAGATGTCCGGGGCAGGAGATGCTGCTGAGAGAGCCAGTGGTCTGTGGAGGACACTATGTCTCCGGGAAGGTGACAGAGGAAGAACATGCATCCCTCTGATCCCCACTTTCTTTTCCAGGCCATCCTGTCACTCTGCATTTCCCTAGCATTGGTGGAACAAACAGGAAGAGTAGGGTCTGTCTCTGAATGTTAGATGAAATCTGAAATCACCAAATATTTGTTGGACCTTCTGTGCTGGAGCCTGCAAACCCATCTCCAGACACATGCTGAAAGACTTTCTGTAGATGAGTGGGACCCCAGCCCCAGGGACCCTTCCTGTGGGGGCACAGGTTTCTCACTCACCCTTTGTCTCTTTCCAACAAGGACCCACAGCTTGCTGCTCCCCTGGCCATAAAAGCAGACAGACCCAGGCCACCTGTGGTGCACCACCACCACCACTACCCTCCCGTGGGGTTGCTCCCAGTGCGCCCAGGAGGCTTCCCACCCACATCCATGGCACATCACTGGACCAGCAGCTCATCCTCTGCTCAGCCAGAGTAAGTAAGCATGCAGCCCTGATGTACATCTCTAGCCCTTTCTACCTGCACAGGTTTGGTAGCAAGGCGAATTGTGGAATAAACATGAGCATCAGACAAAGTCTACAAGTGATACCAAGTTCTGTCCCTGCCACACAGAGCCCCCACCCTGCTGTGCTACTGGCTGTGCTCTGCACAGAGACTCTGACTCTGAGGTTTGGATCTCCCTGTGAACACTTGCTGAATAAGGGGTGCATGTGTTTTATGTTCTGGCTAAAGTTCCCAGCAGGGTTAATACTCTTAAAAAAGTGCTGAGACATTTTCTAATCAGAAATTACAGGGCAAAACAAAAAATCACCAGCTAAGAAAAATGGTACAAAGGGAGGGGAGTATCAGCAATGAAGCTGAGCCTTTGCCATTAGCCTGTGCTTGCACCTGGGAAGTTTTTTCAAGTGCAGAAATGAACTGCTTCTGGGTCTGTAGAGGTCTCCAGCCCTTCACAGAGGTCAGCAAGTGGCTCTTCCAGGTGCTCACTTGCCTCTGCCTTCCTCTGAGCTTGTCCTGGTTGACTTCCTAGGTGTTAGAAAGCTCCTAACTGCCAAGGCTGGCGAAGAAATTCATGTTGCCAGAGCATGGAGGGTGGCATGGGGACACATCTTTTATTTCTGTACTCTGGCTCTTTCAGAGCCTTAGTGAACAGAAGGACACAGGCATGGGTGACCTGCTGGCATGTGTCTGTATGGCCCACTTTAGCAGAGGATTTGAATTCCTGAACAGATTATTTACCTAATGGTATTATAAGGGATAAACATTTCTACCTATTTCCCTTTTACATGGGTTTGTAATCTGCACTAGTAGAGGACTTCTGGCTCTTTTCAGAATCAGTGCAATTCGCTCTTTGCACAAACCAGCAAAGGTCTTGTCATGGCCTTTAAACTGTCTTCTTCCCCTTCTTCAGCTTCCTTCCACTACGAGCTGGGAGACCCAACACATCTGTCTGCAGCTGCAGCCCTGTACACTGCTGGCTCTTGGCAAACACTCTAACCCCATTTTTCCTGTTGCAGGTGGCCCACATACTGACAGCACAGGATCCTTTGCAACGGACCACGGCCTTGCAAAAACAGTCAAATCCTGACACTCCTCCTTGGATATTGTCACATCTTTTTCTTCAGCAACATGAATCAAGCCCATTAGCTTCCAGAGTCCAGGCTTCAATCCCTGATCCTGTTCTTCTTGGTTTCAGTTTTGACTCCTTAAAAGGCTTGCACACAGGTTTTATCAGATGCTTTTTCAGCTGTCAGCAGCTTGGCTGGACTTAATACAGAAAGATAAACTGTGATTTCATATCAGTTTCTCAATGTCTTCCCACACTCTCTTCTTTTTAAAGTGGAGAGCATCTGTACATTGGTTTTGCCTTCTGCAGTTTGTGAATGAGTCTGATTAAGATAACCCAGGGACTTTTGTTTGGAATGAAGAAAAGGTAATTACTGTCACTGCTGGAAGCTAATGCTGTGCTGTCTGTGCTCCAAAAACAATTCATGAATAATTTATTTACTATGTAAAACTTACCTTGCTCTTTGCCCTCTCTGCTCTGTTGTCTTTGCTCTGTGTGTGAGTCAATCAGATAGTGTGGATGGACTCACTGCTGTGGAGATCAGAGAAACCCAGTGGAGGGTCTTCAGGGATGAATTGGTTGATGCAGTGCCAGGGCCCACAGGCACCAACAGTCTTTAACAACCCCAACCAGCCCCACCTGGGATTCCTGCCAGCAGTCCTATTTAAGCTTGGGCCCAGGGCTGTGTGTGGCTCCTGTCAACCCTGTCCTGCATGTCCTCTCCTTGCATTGTAGTGCAGGTTGGGACCATGGTGTGACACTTATCCCCATCCCTCAGGAGCAGCTGGTTCTTGCTGGACTAGAACCAGGATGTGCCATGAAGAATGGTGCTGTGCTTGGGCAGGGTTTTGGTCTTGCTCCTTTGAGACTCTTTTCATTCTCTACAACTTCTCACTCTCTACAGCTACCTGTAAGAGGAAATGGCCTCAAGTTGTGCTAGGGGAGGTTTGGGTTGGATATTAGGAAAAACTTTTTAACTAGAAAGTTTATCAAGCACTGGAAGAAGCTGATGAGAGAAGCATGAGTCCTCCCCATCCCTGCAGGTCTTTAAAAGTTGTGTAGATGTGGCACTTAGGGCCATGGCTTAGTGCTGGGCTTGGCAGTGCTGGGCTAACAGCTGGACTCGATGATCTTAGAGGACTTTTCCTACCTTAGTGATTCTAGAAGCCAAATCTGCTGTTTTGGGCTGTGCACAGCAGGTTTAGCAATAAATGGTGGTCAGTGTATGTTTGTGCTTTCATTGTCTGCTGTCTAATTATTATGTGTAGGCTGTAATTGGCTCCTTCCTTTTGCAAGTTTACTGTGTGTAGTGTTGGCTCAACAGAGCATTTCCTCCCAAGGATGGGCATATGAAGTGGTGCCTGCAGAGACATCTCTTCACAGCTTTGTCCAAGTCCTCGAAAGCTTCTGCAGATTAGGCATGGACCCTCTGCTCAGCATCACACCCCAAAGTGCTTGAGCCACACACAGCTTCCTTGGCCGAAAGATGTCCTCAAAGATGGGATGAGGCTCCTGGGAAAGCCATGTGGATCATATCCCACCCTCCGGAGAGAGCCTGTGAGGCTCCAGAGGTTACTCCACATTGTCCTACCGGTGCCTCTGCAGCTGCAGCCCAGTGAGGCACCAGCAAAAGCCTGGCAGGTGCAAGCTCTCCTCCTGCTCTGTGTGTGTTCCTTGAGGACTGCAGAATTGCTTTACAATTTCTGGAAAAGGCCTTTGGATAAGGCCTGGCTGAATAACACCACGGTCACATCACTGCACCTGAGGCTCAGCCAGGCTGACTCCCTCACAGTCTCTGGGAGTTAAACTTTAATATGAACCAGGGGAGAAGAGCCCAGGAGTGACTCAGCCTCCCATGTTCTTCCCTTTCCCCTCCCCCTTGCCAAGGGCAGCACAGCAGGACAAGGGGGACAGCACTGAGCACCTGCAATCCGGGGGCTGCCCTAGTGATGGAGCCTGGTGACCCACGAGGGAAAAGAGTGGCTGTTGTCGGTGGTGGTCTGGTAGGAAACACCATTGAGCTTATGCATGATTGTGTTTGCCAGGAGCCAGGGCTCTGAAATCACTGTTGGATGTGGGGTGGGTCATTCCTCTGTCAGATGATGGGTGTTGTGAAGGGGTTGATCAAGTTTCCGCTGTGGAAAGCTCCCGTCATTTTCTTGGAGGAAGGGGTTTGGATGGTGGTGGAGCAATGGTGCCCAGGTACACTGAATAACAGTCCTTGTTTGGGTTGCCAGATCCCCCTGCCCTTTGGCTCTTTCTAGCTGTTACCAAGTCTCTAGCATGCAATGCTGTGCAAGGCCTGAGACTAAGTGTCATGCTAAGGCAAAATACCTTTCTCTGACCACTTTTGTTTGGGAATGGTTTTTCTCCACTGCTACTTCCAGCATTCTTGCAGCAGCCTGACACTAAAGGCCAGGCTGGATGGGGCTCTGAGTTTAGTTGAAGGCCCAGTGGAAGATGACCCTGCCCATGGCAGAGAGTTGGAATTAGATGGTCTTTAGGGTCCCTTCTAACCCAAACCATTCTATGAGTCTGTCATTCTATGACATGCATGGAGCACTGCAGCACCTACGTGTCTCTCTCTTGACTTTTTGACCTTGAAAAGGCCATCACTCCTGGAAAAGAGTGATGACATAAGAGTCTGTAGTCCTGACAACAATTAGTGATGGAAATTACACAAGAAAAAAACAGCCATTGATTTAAATAACAAACAGGACGTACATGTGCTGTTCTCTTTAAGGCAGCATTGTGCTTTAGCACAGGTCTAACTTCTGCTGCTGTGTTCCCAAGAGAATGCTGCAGCACCCTGAATTCTACTGTGGAAAAGAAACAGTCCAGAGAGGAGCTGGGAGCTTGCCTGTACCTCCTCCTGCTGTCTCTGGCTGAAGGGATTAGCCCTGCTGCACTCAATCACCATGTGGACCCAAGCCTGAGCTTGTTACACAAAGAGTTGTGATGGGTGACTTTTGTCTTGGAGGCTTTGCAGGCTCATCAGTCCTCCTGAAGAGGACTGTTCCTCAGAAAAAAGTTCTCTAAGGTTTTTGGTCAAAGGACCCACCTGTATATGCATCCCTTGATTGCTGCTTTCCCTTGGTGCACCTCAGTAGTGACCTGTGGCACACTTCATCCACCATTCCTGATCCTTCTCTTGTAGGTGGGTGCATTAAATGCCTGTTTCTTTGCTAGACGAGGTTTCCATGTGGACGTTTATGAAGCCAGAGAAGGTAAGTTCAGCCTGATCATTACTGTTGGAGCTCACTGGACCTGTAGAAAGAAAACAAAATCTCAAAGTGTGCCACTTTGGGGATATTCTTTTCATTCTTTCTTTTAGCTCCTGTGGTGGGGAGGAGCATTAATTTGAAGAGTGTTGCCTTGTGTAGAGGGAACCTACCCTTCAGCTACTAAAATAAAGCATTATAGCACAGTGCTAGGTCAGAAGGAAAATCAAGTGATCTCAGGAGGCCTCCAGGTCCACAGGGCACCACTACAGAGAAATGATGATTCAGAGCCAAGGTGCTGTCTGAAAGGCAGAGAAATTGTTCACCTTCAGTGTCTGTCAGTGGGCAGAGGTGGCAAGCCAAGAGGCAGGTGAGAATGACACCATGGAAGGTGAAACTCAACTCAAGCATGCAGT